ATCCTCACTCCATACACACTGACACATACTGGGTACCCTCACTCCATACACACTGACACATACTGGGTACCACCCCCACACCCTGACACATACTGGGTACCCTCACTCCATACACACTGATACATACTGGGTACCACCCCCACACCCTGACACATACTGGGTACCCTCACTCCATACACACTGACACATACTGGGTACCACCCCCACACCCTGACACATACTGGGTAACCTCCCATACAAGTCGCCAGGATCAACATCAACAATCATCCTGTACATCTTTCCAAGAATCACCAGCAGCCAATGTGGAGCACCTCTGCCCTACGTCTTCCGTCGGGGGGGTCACCTCTAGGCGTTACAAGCGGACACACTACTACCGCAGAGAAACGAGAAACGCGCGCGCGCTCTAGCCGCGACGATGCTACCTCGTCGCGTCGCCGCTAGCGGAGGCACGTTGGCATGTACTTACCGGCCATCATCGCCGGATGCATGAACGAGCCGCCGGGCATGCCGAAGGGGTTGAGACCGCTCATCAGATAGGGGAAGTAGGCCATCGCTTCGGGGGAGGTGCCCAGTGTGCCGAGTCCCAGCGCCGCAAAGTCTCCGAACGGCGCTCCGCCCAGCATCTGCTGCACGGACAGCATCTGCATCATGCCCGCGTCGTGCGTCGTCACCGGGGTCGTCGTCTTCTCCGGGGCGGGCGAGGCCGCTGCCGTCACCACCGCCGCCGCCGCTGACGCCTTTACCTCGCTCTTACTCTGAAAAATCGGAAGCGGCGTGGTCCGGTGAAGCGAGACCCGGAGGGGGGGGGGGGGTAACCTACTACTGTACTACTATTATACTACTATTATACTATTATACTATTATACTGTACTACTATTGTAAAAAACGACTACAGAAGACGCGAGGCAAGCTTCGTCGCGAGAGACGCGTCTGCCGAGTTGAGAACGCTCGCGAAATTCCCCCTCCCGCGTTCGTTTTGACAAGCACGAAGGCGCTTTATTTAATGTTTCAGCCCAAGATTAATGCGAAATTCTTCATTAGCCATCAGCGCGAAGCGCAGTAATTAAAAAATTCTCGCGCAAGCTGGATATGAATTTATATAATTGCGTCGCCACCGCCGATACGACATCTTCGTGTAATTCGATTTGCGGCGCTCGTCAATTTACGCCGCTCTCTCCCCGCGAACGGGGGGAAGGCTGCGCGGCGCGTGCGTGTTGAGGACAGGTACCTTGCTCGTCTTGGCGCGGGCGTCTGCGCCGGGAGCCGCCGGGGAGGAGGAGGAGGAGGAGGCGGGCGGGTTGGCGAGGCCCTGCAGTGCGCTCGGCGGGATGCCGAGACTCTGCAGGCCGGCGATCGCCTGCAGCTGCTGAGCCATCTGGTTCTGCGTGACGAAGGCGGCCGCCTCGCTCATGCGCTCCTGCTGCCGCATGATCGTCGCGAGCCCTGTTGCCGCCGGGTCCGTGTAGGTGGCGCCGCCGCTGCTGCTGCCCCCGCCGCCGCCGCCGCCGCCGGCGTCGCTGTCCTGCCCGTGCACGCACTTGACGACGTTGTCGATGTGCTTGCGCGTGAAGATGTGGTCCTGGATCGTGTACTTGTGCGAGTACTTGAAGCTGCACAGCTTGCATTCGTCCGGTGGCCGGTGGTTGAGGTCGAGGTCCTGGCCAAACTGCTTTGCGAACGCCAGCTTGTTCTTCTTCTCCTTGGCGCGCGCGTTCTGGAACCACACCTGCACGACGCGCCGCGGCAGCCCGATCTCCTTGCCGAGCATCTCGCACTCGGTCATCGTCGGCGTCTTGTAGTCGGCGAACAGACACTTCATCACCTTGATCTGCAGGCTCGACATCTGCGTGCGGTAGCGCTTCAACTGCGCCTGCCGACTGCCCGTGCTGCTGTTCGGCGAGTTCGGGTTAGCGTCGCCATACACGCTGTCCTCCCCGATGCTCACCGTCTCCGACAACGTCTCCGAGTGGTCGTCGCCGTGGTGACGGAAGCCGGAGTCGTTCGCGCTCGTCTCGCTCGTGTCGGTGAGCAGCGCGCCAACCTCCGACGTCTTGTCACCGCCTTCCGTCGCGACGCGGATCGGCTTGCTGAGGTCGAGCGGCGTCTCGCCGCCAGTGGTGGCGCCCCCTCCTTCCGACTTTGGCGCGGTGATCTTCAGCGCGAGCTCTTGGTCCTTCTTGTGCGACGGCGAGCTGAGCTCGTCGAGGTAGCGTTTCAGCGAGTCCTCGTAGAAGCGCTTCATCGAGTCCTGCAGCGGCTCGGGAGCGGCCGCCGTCACCGGGAACATCGCCGCCGGCACGCCCCCGCCGACGCCGTCGCTGGCGGCGAACGCGCGCGAGATGTCGGCAAAGTCGCCGAAGCTCGGGCGATCGGGCGCCTCGGGCTCCGCGTTGGGGATCGCGTCGATGTTGATCTCGCAGCGCGAGACCTGGTCGGCGTGCTTCGTCGCGAGGTGCGACTCGAGCGCGGTGCGCGCCTTGAAGAGCGCGCGGCAGAACGGGCAGCGCTTGTGGATCGCCTGGTGGTGCGAGCGGAACTGGCCCTTGCGTTCGCGCGCGCGCGTGTTCTGGAACCACACCTGCACGACGCGCTTCTTGAGGCGTACCTCGTGCGCGATGCTCTCCAGCTGCTTGCGGCTCGGGTTCGAGTCGACCTGGTACTGCTGGTAGAGGTAGTCGAGCTGCTCGGGCAGGATGGTCGTGCGCAGCCGCTTGTCGCGCGACTGCCCGTCGTCGCCGGCGTCCTCGTCGTTGTGGTACACGTCCTCGGCGCGCCGCTTCGTCTGCGGCCTCATCAGGCTGTAGTTCTGCAGCTGGCCGAACGGCGTGTCGAGCGCGAACTGCGCAAACAGCGACGGGTTCATCAGGTGAACGTTCTGGTGTTCGCGCCACTGCTCGAAGCGCCGGAACGTCTGCTGGCACTTCTCGCAGCGGAAGTTGCCGTCGTCCTCGTGCTTGACGACGACGGCGGTGGCCGTGGCGCCGGCGCCGGTCGCCTCGGGGCTGTTGACGACGCTCTCGATGCTGCGATCCACGCTGCCGTTGCTGCCCTGGCTGCTCTCGCTGTACGTCGACAGCGCGTACGACGTGTCCACTCCCCCGCCGCCGCCGCCGCCGCCGCCGCCGCCGCCGCCGCTGCTTGTCTTGCTCATGTCGTCGCGGTAGCAGGCCGTCTTCTGGTGCTTGATGAGCTCGTAGTAGCGCTGGAAGACGAGCATGCACTTCTTGCACTGGTAGTTGAGGCCCGGCGTGCGCTTGTAGCGCGCGTCGTCGTCGTCGGGCGCCGGCTGGTTCTCGTACGTCTTGCGCGCCTTCTGCCGCGCGTTCTGGAACCAGACGACGATGACGCGCGGGCTGAGGTTGAGCAGCTTCGACAGGTGGTCGAGGTCGTCATCCTTAGGGTAGGCGTTCTGCTCAAAGTACTCGTGCAGCATCTTGATCTGGTAGTCGGAGAAGCGCGTGCGGTTCGCGCGCCGCATCGACTCCGGCGACCGGTGGTTGGCGCCGGGCGCCGGCGGCGGCATCGTTGTCGCGGCGACCGGACTAGAGGACACCGGCGGCGACATGCTCGCCGGCATGCTAAACATCGCCGGCGCGGCGGAGTGCGGGGTCGACGTTTGCGGCGTGAGCCGCGACGAGGTAGGGGTGCCGGCGTGCGGCTGCGCGACCGCCACCGCCACCGCCGCCGTAGCCGCCGCGCAATTCGGCAGCGGGTTCGACGCCGCGGGGCTGCCGACAACGAGCGACGGGGTCAGCGCGGCTGAGGTCGTCGCCGTGGAAACGGCCGCGCTGGTCGGCGTCTCTGCGTGCGCGACGGGCGCAGCTGCCTTGCTGTCGCCGCCGGCCTCCGTCGGTGCGTCGCCGCCGGCCTCCGTCGGCGCGTCGCCGCTGCGCCTGCGCTCGACGTCGTTGTCGACGGCGGCGACGACCTTCGATGACTCGCTGAGGGCGACGTTGATGTCGCCCGTGCGCTCGTACTCCTCGAGGTTGAGCGTCGTCGACGGCGGATTGTTGAAGTTGTACGGCGAGTCCTTGTTGCGCTGCCGCTCCTTGAAGAGCGTGTTGCGAAACCAGTGCTTGATGACCTTCGGCGGCAGCGCCGTCTTCTCGCTCATGCCGATGATCTGCTCCTCGCTCGGCGAGTTGTTGATGTCAAAATGCGCGCGCAGCACCTTCAGCTGCTCGTCGTTGATGCGCGTGCGCGCCCGCTTCTGCTCGGAGCCGCTCAGCAGCGACGAACCCCCCTGCTGCTGCTGCTGCTGCTGCTGCTGCTGCGCGGCTGCCGCGGCGGCCGCCATGTAGTCCTGCCCCATCTGCACGGCCATGCTCTGCTGCAGCTGGTCCATGTGCGGCGGCATCATCAGCGGCGGGTGCAGGTTCATCGCGGCGAGCATCGACATGTTCATGTTGAGCGGGAAGCCGGCGAAGTTGAAGCCAAAGTTGAACATCTGCGGCGAGAACTGGCTGACGTCTACGCCGGCGAGCAGCGCCTGCTGCACCTGCTCCGTCGTCGGCGTCGCCGCGGCGACGGCCGGCGGCGTCTCCGGCGGAGGCGTGCCCTCGCTCGCCGTCGCCATCGCCGTCGCAGCCGTCGCCGCCGCGGCAATGCTTTCGGCCTGGTGCTGCTGCAGCACCTTCTCGAACTCGGAGCGGAACACCTCCGAGTACTCCTGCACGTCGCGTATCGGCACGATCTCGCCGTGGATCTCCTCGCGGTGCGCCTTCAGCACCCACACGCTCGAGAACTTCTTCTCGCACGTCACGCACTCGCACTCGTTCAGCTCAGGCGGCAACCCGGCGTCCGGCTCCTCCTTCACGGCGGCGGCGCCACCGCCCGCCTCCCCCTCTTCCTCCTCGCCGGCGGCGGCGACGACAGTCTCCGGCTCCAGTTTCGGCTTCTTCTCTCCGGGTTCGTCTTCGCGTTCGTCCTCCTCCTTCTTGTCCTCCTCCGGCTTCGCCTCGGCTTCCTCTTTGTCGGCGGTGGGAGGAGCCTCTTCCTTCTCCTTCGACTCCTGCCTCTTTCTGCGCTTCTGGTGATACTCGTTGAACTGCATGACGATCTCGAAGCCGTAGCTCTCCAGCAGCTGCTTGTGCATCGACTGCTTGGTGCGCCGCACGAACGACGGATGCTTGCCGGCGTCGGTGTGCGCGAGCGCGGCTGCCGTGGCAGCCGCCGCCGCGCCGGCGCCCGCCGCCTGCTGCTGCTGTTGCTGCTGCTGCCTGCCCGTCGGCGACGCCTGGCCCGGCTGCTGGTGCAGGTAGCAGAACAGCTTCTGGTGCTGCAGCAGCGACTCCTGGCTGACGAACATCGAGCTGCAGCGGTTGCAGGTGAACACCTGCTGGTGGGGGAACAGCACGGGCGGCTGCGCTATCTGGCTGGCAAGGCTCGTCATCGGGAACGAGACGAGGCCCCCGCCGCCGCCGCCGCCACCGCCGGCCGCAGAGATCAGCGATGGCAGGTAGCTCGCGACGGTGGCGCTGGTCGCAGGGGTCGCGACCCCGCCGGTCGGCGACGACTGCGTCGACTCGGTGCCCGAGGCGGCGGTGCTCGTCATGGACAATGGCGCCGTCGTCGCCGCCACCGTGTTGTGCTTCGACGTCAGCATCTCGGTGAGTATCTTCCTGTGCTCCTGCTCCTCCTTCTGCTGCTGCTGCTGCTGCTGCTGCTGGTTGTGCTGCTGCTGCTGGTGCTGCGGCTTGCGTGAGAGCGACTTCTGATTGTCGGGCGTCTCGATGAGCGGCTGGCTGAGGTCGACCTGGCCCGTGAGCGCCAGCTCCTGCAGCTTGGACGCGCGCGTCTGGTGCAGCACCGAGCGCATGTGGATGTCGAGCGTCGAGCCCTGGCTGTACGACACCTTGCAGATGTTGCACTTGTAGGGCTTCTTGTCGGCCGCCTCGGGGCTGCCGGGGCTCGTCGCCGACGCCGACTCCTTCTCGAGCGCGCTGCGCCGCAGCTTGTGCAGGTGCGAGACTGAGTTGTAGTGCACGAGCAGGATGTTTTTCTGCGTGAACGACTCCTTGCAGACGTCGCACTTGTACGGCCGATTCGGGTCCATGTACTTCTCCATCGGGTACGTCATCTTCTCGCCCTTGCGATGCAGCAGCGTCTTGTTGTGGCTCGTCAGGTAGCTCTGCCGCGTGAACGCCAGCCGACACTTGTGGCACTTGAACTTGCGCGTCGGGTCGGCGTAGCCGTCCTCGGCGATCGCCTGGCTGTTCATGTAGTCCTCGAGGAACTGCGCGTCCTTGTACTCGCCCGTCGGCTCCGTCTCCGACTGGATCGTGTCCATGCTGTCGTCGTCGTCGTGCGCGGCGTCGCCGTCGTCTGCCGCGTCGTCCGCCGGATCGCCCTCCTCCGCCTCCTGCTTCACGTCGTGGCCGCCAGGGGGCGCCGGCGCGGCTCGCGTTGCGCGCGGCGGCCGCTAGGGGGCGCCAGCAGCGCGGGATCGAGGTTACGGCGACGAACGTCACGTCCCGGTGGCCGCCAGGGGGCGCCGCGACGGCGGTGAGCATGCTGCGGTACTGCTCGAGGTCGGCCGGCAGCACGTCGCCGTGCGACGTCTCCAGGTGGCGCTGCAGCGCGGCGACCGAGCGGAAGCTGCGCGCGCACAGGCCGCACTTGGTCGCGGCGCGGATGAGGTGGTACTGCGAGTGCAGCTGCAGCTTCTCGAGCGTCTTGAACGCGAGCGAGCACTGGCTGCAGCGGTACTTGTAGACGTGCCGCTCGCTGACGGCGAGCTGCTGCCGCTTTGCGTGGATCTCGCGGAAGTGCACCTGCAGCGCGTGCGGCGTGCCGAAGTACTGGTTGCAGCCCTTCTTCCAGCAGAGGTAGCCCGGCCCGCGCGGCGTCTGCTGCATCTTTAGGTGCCCGAGCTCGTTCTGGTGCGCGTACAGCGCGTCGACGCTCACAAACGCGCGCGCACACATCTGGCAGCGGTACTCCTCGCTGAACTCGGCGCTGCTGCCGCCGTCGCCGCCGGCGACCGCCTCCTCGGCATCCCTCGCCGCGACGTTGTCCGCGTCACCGTCAACGGCGTCGCCGCCCGGCTGGCTCGCGTGTGCGGCGGCCGCGGCAGCAGCGGGGGCAGGGGGCGCTGGCGGGAACCAGTCGGGCTGCTCGACCATCAGCATGAGCCGCTGGAGGCCCTCGGCGGTGACGTTGTGCGTCTGCGTGAGGTGGCGCTCGAGGCGCGTGCGCTCGCTGTACTCCTCCTGGCAGAGCGGGCAGGACAGCTTGGTCGCGCGCTGCGTGTGCTGCGTGACGACGTGCGCGCGGATGCGCATCTCGCTCGCGCTGCTGTAGTTGCAGTAGGGGCAGACGTGTAGCTTGTCGGCGGCCGCGGTCGGCTCCCCGCCGCCCGGCTGGTTCGGGTCGAGCAGCACCTGCTTAAGCATGCTCTTCTTGTCGGTGACATCACCGTCCTCTGTCTTCACGCCCATGTTCGCATCCCTTCCCGCCGGTTCGCTCTCCTCGCCTTCGGACTTCTCGTCTGCAACGACAACGATAAGAGAACGGCTGAGCACCGACGATCGCAAACGTTACGGTAAAAAATACGATCAAACCGACGGTGGCGTCTGCACACCTCTATAGAACGGACATCTGTCTATAAAGGACACTTTCAGTGTTTCCACTAAGTGGCAGTTACACAGTGAAACCATCTCCATAGAATGGTCTTTAGTTGTCTATAAAGGATACCTTTGGTGCTTTCCGAGAGTGACCTTTATACAAAGATTTGACAGTAAAGAGAATGGTTTAATATCGCAAATTTCCACGCCACGTCGTCAACGAATATAGATAATAAATAGTTTCACATCAACGATGTCCATGTTATAGCATATACCCAACATGTGGGAGGAGATTATTTGGCAAACAACGCTGCTCAGCAAAGAAACTACGTTCGGTTGCATTCACTTCACGCATAAGAAAATGACAAGTGCGATGAATGCCAGGGGAGTTCAACCTAAATCGTGATTACGTGGAACCAGTTTCAAATGAGAGCCATTGTTTGTTTATTCGTAGACTGCATTGGTTCGCGCTTAGGGCACGGGGCGTGTGTGCGTGTTATACTGCAATCGCTTGTGGTACGTAATCATACACTTAAAGACAGTACACTAGTGACGATCTAAATTCTATTGTATTTCGTTTTTTTTCACAACCGAAATAGTAACCGGAGTTACTGCCGGCCATGCGGTGCATTACTAATTCACAGGTGTTGTTAAATCTTGCTTCGACAGGGCTATTATTCACGAAATGACAACACTAAATTACAGTGTGGGCGAGCAGCGTATGTGATTTGAATGGCATAGAGACAGGCAAGGCCATGGCGGAACAAGATAGAAAGCCAACAATGGGTAGGGGTCCAGAGGGGTAATACTGCATTCGGCAAAATACAGCGTCTGTCGTGTGCGTGTCCTGTTATCGGCTCGCCTATACTACACGGGCGCCTACTGCTTAAAAGTTTGCTGTTTTATTTGCTTAATAAATTTGCACACGCTTGATTAGCATACACAAATCGTTCGCATGTCGTAGCTCGATCAACATCTAACATATCTAGAAACACGTCAAGCGTCGCGTAGCGAAAAGTGCACGCGAGACGTATAACAAATGCAATCCTTTCGACAGCGGTGATATAAATTGGTGACCTTCTCTCTTCACGTCGACTGCTGATCATCATCGGCGTGGAGTGGGCGTGCGCATAATTGCGTCTACAGTGAGAGAGCCCGCGTAGGCTCAGGTAAGCGCAGCAATGCAGTGTCACGTACGCGCATGCAGAAAGAACCACGGCTGCCGTATCCCGCGCCATCTTTGAGGGGGGCGGGGAATCCATTCTTAGTGTCCCGGGTAAAAATATGTCATATCTCCAGTTCCTAGTTGAATATAAAATCGCATTTATGGCTTTCCCACATCCCGGTTGACTTCTATTCCCGAATCAGAAAAATCTATCCGGTATTTCCCCTGTTTGAGAAAAAAAAACAACCTAAACAGCCTTACAAGTTTATCTAGATATCAGGCCGACGACGGCAGCAGTGCCGTGCCACGACCGTCCTGCCATCCCTGATCAAGCTTATTACACGTACGTCTTCAAACAGACGCCGAACACATTCTACAGAACGGGATGGCTAGCAACCAGTCACCATGCAGCAGGTGAACGTTGCTTGTGCCACCCTCACTCCCGACCAGGTGAGATCGTATTGCTACGCACTCATCACCAGGTGGCGCTCTCACGCACCACCAGGTGGCAGGCTAATCGTGGGACGCTCAATCACAGCCACCATGGTGGATTAAACGGCGACCGTACGACATCGACTGCAATCTGACACTTTTCCACTCGTACACTGATTATTCCACAATGGTATTTTCCAGCGCACTTGATTTACGTGCAGGAAAAGAACATTTCAAGCCTACGTCAGAACCGACAACAAACCAAACAGAAGCCAAACTATTTTGTTCGAATGACAATCATCGTAACCAGCTGCAATTGGACGAAACCTGTCAAAGCAGTCACTCTGCATAGTAATCAATCCGGCGCTTTCTGCAGCTTCGTGCGCACGCACGCACACACGCACGCCTACACTACAAACTACATTTAATGCCATTCGGTTTGCGATTATTTAGAAGAGTGGTCGGATACCTAGCTCCCCGGAGAAAAATGCGCGAGAGTTGCAGACGACAATTATTACTCTACCACGGTCAACGAACAACACCATAAAGGTGCTCTCATAATCATCTAGTTTTAATCCGAAGCCCTTTGTTCTTGCCGAATCACACTGGGTAATTAAAATTCCTGATTGCAATTGGCCCCCGAGGAGACTTTCGCGAGATTAAAACTATACTCCTTGTTGCGCCGGTGTTTGCACGGAAAGTGGGAGCACTCGTTAATGAACTGAGAGAAATGATCAACACACGGCACTCAGTTCGCATCTAAAAATATTGCCCCCGCGGGAACCAACACGCCCATACACACAAACGTATCCACACCACACGCGCGCATAGACGCGCGTATGCACGAACACACATATTCAAACACGCATATCCACACATACATTTATAAACAAATACACAGAGCGCTGTGCACACGGGTTATCTCTAATAGGGTAGATATATGGAGAATATAATTTTGTTTGCCCACCTGAATAACCGCAAGCCAGGCTTGAAACACTCATGAGCACTTCTGTACTTTTATGTTCGTATTTACGGTACAGTACTTCGCTAGAGTGGCACTATATATGCCGGCTACACAGCCTTTTGGGAAAAAATCATTTCTCCCAAACATTTTTAGGATACGCTCTTGAATATGAATAGCGGCTGTTGTATCTGTGAAGTAGCTGATGTTTTTTAGCAGATGTTGAAGTACATTCGTTCACAGAAATGAACGGCGTAGTAGAATTCAATACTCATTAAAGTGACTAGGAAACGTAAGATTGTAGCCAGAAATAACACACGAGCGATGGCATTGGGGGATGAAATTAGACTGACATTAGGGGTGTCACTATTGCAATTTTACAAGACGTGGTTCAACCACCTGTACTGTCTCATCATTCTGGAGGTATCACAGTATGTACGCGAAATATATATATTTCAAAGCCATGTAAGAAAATAGGGCAATAGTAACAAACTGTCCTTGTATTAGAAAAAATTCACGCTTGGCCGCCTTGTGGTATACACATACACACATGTGCAATGTTGTCTTTTCAACAACACAGAAGTGATTTTTGTCGCGCGACACAAGTCTAAACTAATGGCCAATTAACTTGAAAGGACCTGGTAGGAGAAATGGCCCAAACCACTTTCACTCGGTCATCAGTGCGCCTAAAAGCAGCCTAAAAGACAGGCGGGTCCATCAATTATCCGAGCAGACGCAGGAAGATCAGAGGAAACAACGGCAGACATTGATTCTGCTCGGCACAGGAAGGCTGGTGACACCGCTGGCACACCGTGTGACAGACGACGAAACAATCACGTCCGGTGTCTGCGTAGATGCAGCTAATAGTGTGTAGTGCTCGCTGGCCTTTGCTGTTTTCGGCGCCACAGTGGGCCACAGTAGCGGCCCGATGCCCCGCTCTTCCCCAGACACACGCGCACACCCACGCACGCATGCACGCAGGCATTCACGCACGCACACACACGCACACACGCACGCACGCACGCACGCACACACACACACACACACACACACGCACGCACGCACGCACGCACGCACACACGCACGCACGCTCCACATACCGACCCACAAGTAAATACCGGAACATATCGCGGAGGAGAATTACCCAGATCATTTACCTATACGCACTCGACCAACCTACGCCCATCACCGCTCTACGCAGCATCCGCCACGGACACCCGCACCAATGACGTACTAACACTCCGGAGCTTACGGCAAGTGCCATGGAAACCACTACGCAGCATTCGCCATGAACACCCGCGTCAATGACGTACTAACACTCCGGAGCTTACGGCAAGTGCCATGGAAACCACTACGCAGCATTCGCCATGAACACCCGCGTCAATGACGTACTAACACTCCGGAGCTTACGGCAAATGCCATGGAAACCACTACGCAGCATCCGCCATGAACACCCGCGTCAATGGCGTACTAACACTCCGAAGCTTACGGCAAGTGCCATGGAAACCACTACGCAGCATTCGCCATGAACACCCGCGTCAATGGCGTACTAACACTCCGGAGCTTACGGCAAGTGCCATGGAAACCACTACGCAGCATCCGCCATGAACACCCGCGTCAATGGCGTACTAACACTCCGGAGCTTACGGCAAGTGCCATGGAAACCACTACGCAGCATCCGCCATGGACACCGCACCATTGGCGCAGCAAACACACCGGAGCCCGCAACAGAACGGCATGGGAACGACGGCGGCAGACTGCAGGTGTGGCCCCGCTCTCACCGTCACACCACCGGGGTCACGTCGGGGCACACCGACAGCGCACGACAATGCATTTTTACGCTCTCTCGCACCAGCTGGCCGGGACAGGTGACAAGAACGCACACGCACGGCGGCACCGAGCATCACACTTTGTTCACGAGAAGTGGCCACACGCACGCACGCACGCGCACGCATACGCACGCACGCACGCACACGCACAGTGCGATGCGGATCGACACGCGCACTCGCTCGACGTTCGTCACGATCCTCACAGCCGACCACCGACGTCATGCACGTCGCACTGAAAACATGAAGACGTTCCTAACAAACAACACACGCGTACACACCTTTACACCGTACGCGACCGTACGCCAGAATATCGCATTCACGCACATCCGAGATAGACAAACACAAACACACACACGCACACACACACACACACCTGTAGAGTCTGTCGTGCGGGTATAGAGTGGCGTACAGGTGGAACTGGTCGCGCTATCCACGTCCTGCCTGGTCAGAATCATGCCTCGAGTGAAATTCCAACACCATCCGGTTAATTTGGCAGTTCACAAAGATGGCGAGAAGAACAGAGAGCGCGCGAGCGCG